CTGCCGTTCTCCTGGCACTCTTATATTTTGGGTCGACTATGATTCCCAACATTTGGACTGCTTTCAAATTTACAGGGGCCACAACTGCAGTTTCTTTAGGCTATACATTTCCATCTCTTATTGCTCTAAGGCTGGGCAAACAAGGAAGCGGTTTGAGTATGAGAGAGAAGATTTTGTCTTGGTTCATGTTGATATTGGCCATTGTAGTTAGCATTGTTGGAGTGGGTGGCAATATTTATAGTATGAGTAGCGAGAGTGATTGAGGTTCATTCTTTTTCATGCAGTGGAAAGGCCTGTTGCATTACCGATCCAAGTGAGGATAAGCTACTCCAAGTCAAACTGTCAGGTTCTAAATGGAAAGTCTTGTGATATAGTTCCACTCAAAAGGCATTCAAGCTTTACCAGTCCATGTAGAATAGCAAGAGATTGTCATAGCTGTTGCAGATTGATAGAATGGTGATCCCGGATTCATAGAAAAATGTTAGTTATTGAGAGTTATGTGGATTGCGGCAACTGGTAAAGTCTAAATTCTTCTTTCTTTATTTGTAATCGTTAAAGGTGGCAACCTATATCTTCATAGCTTTCTCTCCCCTGCCATACAGGGTCATACAACAAACTTATCTTATGAATACAATAATTGAATGTCATTCTTATAAGTACCTGAAAGTTTGAAACCTGCTCCATTATTTGCATTTGTAGTAATATATTTTCAATGAGTATTATTCTTTTTGTTGGTCAAAATTGTTATGAATTCTGGTAGAAGAAACAATTACTCCCTCTATTTCATTTTTTTTCGTCTTACTATCCTTTTTGGCATGTTTAAAAAAAAAGTGTTTTTCCTAATTTGGCAACTCCTTAACTTCAACATCCCACACAACATGTTTATGATATTTAAGACCTCAAGATTCAAAAGTCTCTTACTTTCTTAAATTACGCGCCCTGTCAAACTAAGACAAACAAATTGAAACGGAGGAAGTACTTCTTATGTTGTATAAATTCCTTTAAACTTGTTTTAAGGGATTAAGAGACTTGGAATCGTAAAAGCATATTGGCATAAGTTTGTAAAGTGGGCACTTGCTTGAATGGTTTAGACTTAGCTACGTCTTCTTAGTCATGTTGCTGTGAAATCTCATGTAATTTCTAGTATAAATTGGACATATGGAGACTCTGAGAAGTTGAACAGACTTGTTCCATTAGTAGTGGTGTCGTTTCCCCCCTTCAAATTTAAGTTAGTTTTCTACTTGTTCCCTTCATACCATTTTATGAAAATTTTAACTGATGACCAGTGTAATAAACACACAATTCACGGGCATGTATAAGTTGTTGATGGACGATTTTCTACTAAACGTGTTTTTAGGGAATTAGAATGCTGCAAGCTTTGAATTCTTTACCGTCAGAGGATAGATTGGATTACAACAACAACAACATATCCAAGGTTATTTCACACGTGAGGTCTGGGAAAAGGAGAATAGATTGGATTAAGTGGGAAAAATGGGTATTTTCCTGAATGATAAACCATAGCTATGTCTCTTAATCACATTCTTTGCGATCTCATGTAATATCTTGTATAATTGGAGATATGGTTGATCAGAGAGATTGAAATGGTTATCCAGTAAATGATGTTGTTGTTCTTTTGCTTCCATCCAATTCGGTTTTCAACCTGTTCTTTGAGTAACATGTGTGAATTTTAGTAGACAGCTCATACTACAAACTCAGAATTCATGGGAGACTAGTTTCTCCAGATTACAGATAATGAAACAGGTCAGTTCTAACTCGTTTGCTTGCACTTGTTAAAAGTGTCCTTCAAAGTTTTCCACACATTTTTTTCCTCTGTCATGTAGGGGTCATCATACCATGTAGAGTTAACGTCATATATGAATGCACTAAATTATTGTTGTTCCTGAACTCCCTACACGTTTTAAGGTGTGTTCATCACCAGCAACCTAGTATATCCTTTTACAACTTGTTCTTGAAAATCGTTCCTAAATCTGCTTGTACAAAGGGTATTAGTTCTGGTACCGTACAAATTAATTGTGTTGAACTTGTTTCTACTATTTGATGCTGCAATTTCTGACTATCAATTGTCAACTGTAGAGTATCTCACATGGCAATCTTGAATGAATCGGAGATATGGATGCTCTGGTAAAATGTAGTAAAAACTATTCTGTAGCTCAAATTTGCCTCATAACTTGATTCCGGAAAAAGAAAACATAAACAATGTTAGATGTCTTCCAACATTGTCCATGTATCTGTATCCTCCTAAAATGCTGTAATTTTATACCACTAAAGTATCTTGGCTTATCATAAACACATGCTCCGACTCCTCAACTTTAATAGGAAGATGACTCATTCAATAATTCGTCCCACAAGGGATACATCACATATAGTCTTAAGTCTTTGAGAGTGTATTCGACGTCTTAACTTTACTACTCAATCTGGATTATCTACCAACCAACAATATATTGCAGGATTCATCGTGACAGGAGCTTTTCCTCGTGCAGGTCGATGCTAAATAAGTAACTGAGCAATATGTTCCTTTTGGAAGTTGTTAAATTTAATGAACAGCAATGGAGTATGACTTGTAGGTCAACAATAATATGTTATATATAGTAAGGGATAAATTTAAAAAAATTTAGAGGCAATGAAATTAATTGTATCTGTCTGCAATATTTGATAATTTTATCCCGCATGCCTAAACAAGGACCCAATAATCATAATCTGACATCTTTACTTAAATTTCAGTTAAACCTGATTATAATTAGGTGTGAAGGCTTGACCAGCCCAATTTGACCCGATTAATCTCAATAATTTTAACATAGTGATATTTAACTTTTATAATCACAATTCGAATTTCAGCTCAAGATGTTTTTTTAAAAAGTAACAAATGGATAGATAAATCCTAAAAGATGTTAAATAAATAATAATTCATACATTTAATATAGAAACATATCTTAGTAAAAAGTTTTAAAACGAGTTGAAATTGAAGATTGAATTGCGCTCAATTGAGGATTTTCTTAAAATGGGCCAGGCTTGAATGAGTTGAAATTGAACTTAATTCTAATTATCTTGAACCCAACCCTTAAAGTTTTGGGCGGGTTATCTATATTTGGGTTCATTTTTGACACCCCTAGCTACAAGTAATGAATCCTTTTTCGTTCAAAAATTATATCATGCAATAAACAATTCTTATTGTAAATTTATATAAATTATTATTGGATCACCTGAAATAAGGAAGACTTTTCAATAGTATCAACGGTAGTTCAAAAATTGCGTTACGTTATATTCAAGTGTAGCGTTATTTATTGCATCTTGTTATAATTTCTGACTAATCATTCATCAATTTATAATTATAAATTATAAAAATAGAATTAATATGGCATGGGCCATTGAGGATGTTAAGGCAAAATATATATAGATAGAGTAGTAGGATAAGGAGACAAAAGCTTTTGTTTGTAACAAAAATTCCAAAGTTTGGACAATCTCACCCCTGCATTATTCACATGGTGAACATTTGTTATTGCCATTTGCCTGGCCCGTGAGTTAATGTTCTTTCATTTCTAAGATCCCAACTCAAATAATGAGGGGCATACATGCACAAAAAAAACCCATTCTTGTTTCACAACATTTTGAAAAAGCATACTTGTTTGTTGCAATTTTCCAACAAGTCACATGATAGGAATAATAGTTATCTTTGTTTAAAATTCAAAGGGAAATTATATGTTTTAAGAACCTAAGGAGCATCTTATCTCTAGTTCAAATTCCAGCGGAGTTAAAAATATTAAGTGATTTTCCTTCATCTGTTCAAATTTTGATGGACAATATTATTCGATATATGTGCTGGTGGAAGATAATTACAAATAAATATCTTCAGTTAAACATAAATTGAAACGAATGGAATGGAGTCGGAGAGTAATTAGATTGAAATCCTTATTTAAAAGTCTTTCTTCATTTCATATTTTTTCAAAAGTAAACTAAACAAAAAATAAAAATAATGAAGCAGACATAAACGTATAGACCTGGTCCTAGAGTCCACCCTTGGATAGTGATAGATCAACTTAATCATTTTTGAGTATTATCTGAGTTTTATTAGTAATATTTAATACATTGGAAATTAATAAGAGCCGGCGAAACACTAATTTGCATAACTTAAAACAAGTCAAATCTCAATTAACATTATTATCCAATGCCTATCCTGTTGTTGTACTGTCTTAAAGGTCAACTGCTTTTTTAATTTTTGTAATTAACCAAATTAAAATTAAGGTTGACTAATTAAGAGGTAAAAGAAAAAGTCCAACATGAAAAATTACATACAATTTGTGATTCAAACTTGAAGTGATTAAGCAAAAGCAAGGTAGGCCAAGTTGGGGTGGGGTGGGGGGGGGGGGTGACTGGTAAGGCTGACCCCCATAGACCAAAGACTATTCTAAGCGTGATTAATGGGCAATATAATCCATGAATTTATTACTTCTAACTCTTTTGGAAGAGTCCTAAATTCTAATTCACATTTTTGGCCAATTCTTGGATGGAACATGGGGCTTCAAAAGTAAATGACCCCACTAAACAAATGCATACCCCCACCTTTTCCTTTTTCTTTTCATATTATTATTCAGACTAACTTACACACATCTGACTCAAAAACTACACTCATGATTTTGAAATTTTGATTCTAAAAGTAAAAAACAAGTGAGATAAAAAAAACACACGACCAACTCGACTAATTTTAAAAAATACCTATTACTTCTCATTCGTTCACCAAGATTTAAACATATTATATGAAATTACCTATTATTTTCCTTATATGATTTTCAACTTACTTCATTGATCATCGTAAAATGGGGCCACACTCATATTCCCTTTTTTCTTTCAGTCACTCTCAAGTTTCAACTACCACCTAGTTAAGCAAAGCTACACACTTAATAAAAAGTGAAAGTGCAAAATCTCAGCAACCAAAATTCACCACTCACTTTAAGCCTTTTAAACATTATAATATAATGTCTTCATTATAAATATTTCTACAACCCCTTCATTTTCATTTCAAGCACACACCAAAAATCTGAGCAGAAAAAAAAAATACAGTAAAGGCCATGGACTGGTTTTCTTGGTTGTCCAAAACAGGGCTAGAGCCTTCTCTTGTGTATGAATATGGCCTAGCTTTAGCTCATAACGAGCTCGAATACGACGACGTCGTTTACTTCAACCACGAATTTCTCCAAAGCATAGGCATTTCGATTGGCAAACACAGATTAGAAATTCTCAAACTTGCTAAGAAAGAAAAAGGAGCGATCCCAAATTCCATGTCGAGATTTCTCCAAGTAATTAAACGCACAAAGAGGCGTTTGTCAAAGTATATAAGGAATTGGGGTCATAGCGAGGAATTAGCACTTGCTTTAGTCCCAAAAAAGATTAGCAGTTCCAGATGGAAAAATTCTATGCTGAAGAGGAGGAGCACAAGGGTTGCTGCAGCTAAGCAGAATACTCTGTTAATCACAAATGGGAGTCCCAATTTCATTTCAGATTCAAGAATGAACAGTTTCTCTAGTCCGACGGTTAATGATGAAAAAATGGGAGATGATTATTGGGCGTCGTGTGGAGTTGAAGCAATCAGGTGGGATACAATGTTTCAAAATCTAAAACCAACTTAATTTCTCTTTGCTAGATAGATGTCGTCTCTAACTTTTAACTTTCTGATTCGAGTTCTAGATATGAAAAAAATTCTAGTAATGGGGCCTTACCTACATGATGCGAATTCGAAATATTGAAGGAACAAATAAAATGGTGAGAGATGGATTTTGTGTTCTTCCACCAATTCTATTTTAACTTTTTTGGAATTTCTGTTTGCTCATCAGTGGTGGGCCCAAGGAGAAAGCCACCCATGAATGTATAATGTGTGTTATTAATGGGATTATTTCAATGATTTTACATGTTTCTTAAGTACTTCCTTTTTTTATTTATTTAATTCAGAGATCCGAATATAGTGATGTATTTGAGTTTAATGAAATTCATAGAAGTTATAATCGTCATGATGAAGATGTATATAACTGAATTTTATTCTAAAGAGCAAAGTGTACTGTGAGGGTCCTTGTGGAACGGAACATCAATAGCTACGGCCCCAGTATGTCCACTTCTTAGCAGGTTTACCCGACACGAAGCACAATGTACCTACAAGAGAGTAAAATGACATATTAGATGATGGCAATAACGCTGAGCCTTCAACAAATCTGCAGGGAAATAGTACCTTCAGGCAGCTCAGGCTGGTCAAACGGGGAGCAAAGCGTCTTTGCTGCACCCATCTCGCCCTTTGTGCGTGCCTTGACATCTTTCTCAACAGCCTACCAGAAAGCAATTATGTGAAATCGAAACCAAGCTGACAACTAAGAGCATCACCATAGAACACACATTGGAATGTGATCACATAAATTGTGCAAATTCATATTATTATTGCAGAGAGAAATTACAGATGATAAAATAAAACATGCTACTGGCTGAAAAACAGGATGCATCTTTTATGGGGTAGTAGCATCACTTTGAAGTTAGACAAGAAACATACCTCCTCATCACACCAAGGAGCCAAGACCAATTTCTTTTGGCCCAGTGCTACCGTAAATTCATCCCAGGTTCTTACAATCTGAACACATGCATCTCTCTTTTGCTTGGCAACATCAAACAGATTTTGTTGGATAGTGGCAAGCACATCTTTTACTTGGTCAGCAAGATTGGCCATGGGAATATCTGTTTTGGCTCCGTTGTCACGTCGAACAGCTCGTACCTTGGAGTTATATCAGAACTTTGAATCAAACAACATAGATAAACATATACACATGTATTTAGGCTTCCACACAAATAGTAAAGGTTCATCGCACAAATTTTACCAAGTTCATTTTAACTTTCATAAACAACTGACTACTAGAAAGAAAGGAAAGGAAGTAGAATTCTTACCTGGTTATTTGCAAGGTCTTTTGGTCCTATTTCAATCCTAAGAGGAACCCCCTTCATTTCCCAATGAGAATATTTCCAGCCAGGTGAATAGTTGTCTCTGAAGTCTGCCTCAGCACGAATACCTGATTCATTCATCTCTCTAACGGTAGCAGCACAAGCATCATAGATCCCTTGAGTATTTGCATCCTTGTATGGTACAGGAATAACAACTACTTGAGTTGATGCTACTTTAGGAGGTAAGACCAGACCTTTGTCATCCCCATGAACCATGATCATAACACCAATCTGTCATAGCCCCAGGAAAAAAAAAAGAGGGTTAGTTTGACCTCCAAAGTATAAAAGTGAAGAGACAAAGTTGCTTAAATGGCATTGAATTCTTACTGTTCTTGTAGTAAAGCCCCATGAGTTCTGCCAGACCATAGCCTTCTCTCCCTTTTCATTTTCAAAATTTATCTCGAAAATTCTTGCAAAATTCTGCCCTAAACAATGAGAAGTTGCACCTTGGATACCACGGCCAGTATTAGGGATAAAAGCCTGGCAAAAAAATCAGGGAACAATGGTGAATAAATGACAGTTAGGAGAATTTCACCAACAATTTCCAAAGAAATTACTGTTAAGAACCGCCAAACAATGTCTACACAGATGCAGTCTTCAATACCTCAACTGTAGTCGTATATAGTCCACCAGCGAACTTCTCAAGCTCACTTTTCTTTCCCTTACTGACCGGAACAGCTAAAAGTTCTTCATATATACGTCTATACAATTCCAAGATTTCTAGAACCTGAATAAAGATAGTTGCAAGATCACTATGTATGAAAAAGACTACATCTATAAGCAAAAACACTGAACTTGAACAAAGAAGGGGAAAGCTGATAGCAGCAAGTCTTCTCTAAGCTTAGGGCATCTCAGTTCCAAAGCTATTAATTCTCATAAAAGTCTATTGATTTGCTCAGATAATTATCCAACAACAATGCAAGACAAGAAGACAACTAGGAGAAAACCACTTCAAGTAAAGAAGGGTAAGCCAAAGTGAACGTAAAGTAGTCCTTAACTGATGTTTAAGTTGCAGGCTGAGAAATATAAATCTCAAATACTTAATTCACAAAGACAATAATGTACCAATGTAGAAGGCAGGTTTGGCAAGTGTTGGAACGGACGAATTCTAAACTGATCTTATAGCTGACCTGACCCAAATTATGACACTGGCTCCAAGGTTACATATATACATGAAAGTAACTTCTTTGCTAGTTGTCATACCCCTATCCTGAAGTAATAGTTCATACCTGTACTGAGAGTGTTCCATAATACACTCATATAATTCTACTTCTTATTTTGCCAAACCATTCCCTTTTCCTTTATGGACAAACAAATAAAAAAAATCACTTACTGAGGAAACTACAATCTGATCCATTCTTCATTTCAATATAACTCTCACAAATTTAAACCTATTAAATAAAAGAGTAAAATGTTACCCACATTCTCCCATTTGAAACTGAACGATACACATTTCTAGTTTCTCTTATTTGTACCAACTTCAAACAGGACATAAAACTTGTGTCAATTCAAATTGTCTTTGATTTTGAAATAAACAAATATTGAAGTTGACAGATAATATGATTCATCTCTTATCTCCTAGTTCTTCCAAAGACCTAAGCTATTAACAACTGGTTTTAAGAAATGTAAAAGCTCCTAAACAGCCTAATTGCAAATTAATCAATGAAGAGAAGAAAACTAGATAGGCCCATCAGTAATCACCCCGAGCAGCTATAGACTTCCAACTTCCCAAAAGATACTCTATCTGTTCCCCCGGGTACCAAAAAAAAAAAGAAGAAGCAATGTCATGTTCTTCATGTTCCTTGCTTTGGCATCAGTATCACAAAGCTAAGTTGTCTGTCCTAGAAGAGCCTACTAGTTCTATGTTGATATAATTACCTAATAAAGTTCTTCTCACGGAACTAACTGTATAAGCAATGACAAGACTAAGATGGCATCATACATGATACAACAAATATAACACAGGAAAAAAGCTGAACTGGAAAATTCACTTTAAAACTACCTTACAGAGTTATTATATTGTTATCTACATCCAATGCACTCAAGCCACGCACTACACCATGGTACTTAAACAAAGCTCGAGGAGAGGTTTAGTTTTTGTTTTAAACAACTTTAGAGGCCGATATGCATACTCCAAGATATAACCATATACCTCTGCATCCGATTCCTCCTTTGTTGCAAAAGCAGTGTGCCCTTCTTGCCAGAGAAATTCACGACTCCTGAACAAGGAGCATAAGCATAACATTAACTAACATCTCGAAGTCTCAAAGAAGTTAGGATTAAGGAGTTACGGATCTGTTTGTCCATAAAAATTATTCATTTTTTCGGGAATAATTTCACTTTATTTGAAAATCAGCGTTTAACCATGAAAATCCCAAATCCAACTTGAAGTTGTATTTCAAATGTGGAAAACAACAAATAACTTGTTTTCCAACTCACTTTTCACTTTTGAAGTTGGATTTAAGTACATTCAAGCATGAACGTTATTCCAAATATTCTTTGCAAAAAGTATAACCAAACACAACTCCATAAATTCCAAATAAAGAGAAAAATATTTGAAATTATTGCCAAACACCTATGTAGTTTTTGTTGTATAAGCTGCAATCGAAAACGCTTGAACATGCTCACAAAGGAATGGTAAAAGGTTTTAAGACAAGAATAAACTCAAAAGAGCACCTGATGAAGGGGGTAGGGTAAAAGGTTTCAAGACAAAAAAATAAACTCAAACGAGCACCTGATGAAGGGGGTGGGGTTGCTAAACTCCCATCGCACGACATTGCACCATTGGTTGAGTCTCAAGGGCAAGTCACGATGTCCCCTTATCCACTTAGAGAAATAAGGATACATTACTGTTTCACTAGTGGGTCGAATCGCAATGGGTACTTCCAAATCAGAATCACCAGATTTTGTAACCCAAGCAACCTGAAGAATGACATAAACCCATTATGGGTATAGCTAATAATAAGTCTGTAACACAATCCACTCCCCATATAGTAACTGAAGTGTGCTGAAGAATTATAAGCCTTGAGCATAGTTATTAAAATTTATAGAATACATCACACAAGGGATGATACCAACTTAACACCATAATATGATACTTACACAACAAAGTTATTACTATTAAAGTTACCCCAACCTAAAAAAGATCCAAAAAAAATTCAGGCTTCTGGGAATCGTACATCACCCAAATTCTCTATATCTTTTTTTTTTTTTGATACCAGAGGAATCCCTCAGAGCCAGTGGAGAAAGTTAGTGGGTAATGTATGCACTCCTCTACCTAATTCACTTACATATCGGCTTTTATCTGTGGCAGGATTTGAACACGTGACATATGCCTAACCCACAGATTACAAGTTAGCTCTTACCATTAGACCAAAAGCCTACATCACCAAAATTGATGATGACTTTCTGAACTTAATGATACCTTAGAATGAAGTTTTTAAAGAAACAAATAGCAACGCCCTTGTCGCTATTAGGTACTATCTTCAGCAATAGCCAGCATGAATAACATGGCAAACATTCTAATTACAAATATTTTGAAAGATTCCAGGAAATTTCAGCATTAAAGATATAAATGTTATAGGCAGGAAAGTGAGAAACAGTGGAATAAACATTTATATCGAAGACATTGTACATGCTTCACGGGCTGAAAGAACATAAACTGTCCTACAATAATTGACTTAAAAAAGTGCCAAGTCTCACCTCAGGTGCAAATCCCTCTATGTGGTCCTTTTCCTTTTGAAGAACAGCAGGGGACACAAACAGAGGAAAGTAGGAGTTCTTTATCTTCATTTTCTTAATTTCGGCATCGAAAAAACCCTGAACATACAGAGCTAACAATCAATCCATCATAAATGACCTCAAATAATTAGTGGTGGGAGAAAAAGAGAATTTTCATGGTCAAGCTTACATGCAATATCTCCCAGATAGACATTGACCATGGCCGTAGAATATAACAGCCAGATATGTCATAGTACTCGATCATTTCACCACTAACGACAACCTATATTGATTGGTTAATGGAGCAGCTTGTAAGTCAAAATTTCATAAATGATGAGAAGGAACTCACACATATAAGTAAAATAGACGACACTTATCCATATAGAGAGAGCAGAAATGGATTGGGAAGGAAGGAACTAGTATTGCATTCAGGCGGACTTTAGTCAGACAGATATTTGTACTAGTTATGTGTTAAGGAGTAAAGAACTTCAAGAAAAATCTGTCTTCTAAAATATTGGAGAAAGAAAAAAAAATAGAAAATATTCATTAGCATAAGAAAATTGGGAGATCTGTGAAATTGGACAAGAAATTACAGGGAAAAAGAACAGAATAATGAGGAAAACATTCAGTAGAACAAGAAATGGAAAATTTATGTCATTTGACAAAACTATAGGGACAAAACAGACGAAGATGAAATGACAATGGAGCAAGAAAGAAGTTTAGTTAACATAGTTTTTGAGGTTCTTGCCATTCCATCTTTGTTTTTGCACCAATGCAATTGGCCAGAGACACATCATTATACGAACATGAGCAGGTAAATATTATCAAATTTGATAGCTCATATAGTTTGATCTCCCAAGCATACCTCAGAATACCACTCTCCAAAATTTTCATCCTTTTTGTAAGAGAGACCAAGACCTGTCTCTTTCTTGACTTCTTTCATTTTTCCCTCTGAAGAAAGACAAAAATGATGTATATTACACAAACCAACCTAACTAGAGCAGCAAGTTTTCTTAAAGAGATATGATGTAGCATTATTACTTACTTTTTGGATCTTTACCAGACATGCTTTCAAGCTTCCAATTAAGTATACACACAACCAATAGCCAAGATAGCTGCTTCATAAATGAAGGTTCGACAACCAACCCATGAAAATAACAAATATCAGCTACTTCTCTTTTCTCATTTATTTGATCAGCACCACAAGAAGATAGTGATACTCCCCACCTCCCCCTCTTTTTAATTTTTATTTTAGAGAGATAAATCAAAATTTTCACATAAGAGTTGAATCCAATGTAATCAAGCGCAAAAAAGCTCTAAAGTCCGTTGGGGCAAATAAAGCTAGGGCTTTAATGAAAAAAGGCGCAAATGGTGAATAAATGCAAATATCTATGTTTAGCTCAAGAGTAATAATTAAAAGCATGAATAACAAATACATGGACAAAGACATTGGAAAAAAAATAAACAATGAAGTGTTGCTTCTTCAAGAAAGACTCATTGACAAGGAAAAGTCGTATGTCTTAAGGCCTTGATGACGACACACAAGGGCACATTAAGCAGGCTTAAGCGCGGGTTTAACAACACTGATTTTTCCCATCCTTGTAGTTGTTATAGTTTACAAAGTTGTTGTATGAATACAAGATAGAGCATTTTGATATGCAGAAAGTGATACAGGTGATAGAACTAGTCTAGGACATAAGTAAGAACAAGATTCCAACTTGAATGGCTTTTATACTACTCCTATTAGTAAGAACAGACATATACAAATGCGGGCATAAAGAGAAGAGAAAACTAACTAAAGTTACAACATTTGAGTAAAAAGACTTGCTTTATAGGGGAATTATAGTGTTGAAACTGTCAAACTACACTATGAATGAGTGTAGTGTAAGCTTATATTCTACAAGGAAGCAGAGATAGTGAAACTTACATGAAACAGATAAAGCTCCCAAAAATCTTATAGTAAAAGAAGTTTGGATTTAGGGATGATAAAAGAGACGTTTCGATGGAGGGCCGGCGGCTTTATTTTTTATACTAAAAATAAAGGACTATTGTTAATTTTTGTATTGATGGATAAGAAATAGAGTGCATTAAAAAGAGTTAAATTAGTAAAAATATTTTTCTTATTTATGATTTTTATAAGGCCTGTAAAAAAAAAAAGTAAACAAGTAATATGAGATAGACCAACAAAGCTCCATCATTTTTATTGGGTGGGGTTTAATTAGTAATGGGTGGATAGTGGGTTGGTTTATAAATTATATTAATAAATTAAATTATAACCAATAGTTGAACGCCAAGTATTTTAAAAAAATATTTAAATAGTTTAAATTTAAAACCGTTAAATAAGTGGTCAATTTTGAATCCAAAGGTGGATGAGAAGGGTATTTTGGAGCCAATAGGTGGATTGAGGGTAATTTTGTACCATTTCCAATATTTCGAAGATATTTTAGGCCCTTTTCCGTAATTTTTATTTACACGTCTCTTAAGATCAACATTAATTATGAGGGTGTGTGTGTGATTAATTAGGACTTGGGCCGAAACATTCAGGACCAATAAGCCTTGAGCCCTTCCTGTAGCGGCCCCAAACAGCCCTTTAGACTTCAGTATTCGCATTTCGCTCTTCTCTTCAGTTGTTCTCGTCGCCGACCAGTCCTTGCCGTCTTTTCCTTTCTCACAGGCAAACAGAAAGAGGTGGAGTAAAAGGAGAAAGCTCCTCCAATGGCTGCCGCATCGAGAAACCTCATTTCTCATCTCCGCATCCTTTTATCGTCCACAGTTTCAGAAACCCAGTTCAGAACCTTCAGTGCTTGCAGTAGCCAAGTCGAGGAGTTAAGGACTCGGATTATCGAAGGAAAACCTGGAATCATGACTCCAAAATCCAAACGGACTGGAGCAATTGCTGTCAAATGTGGAATGACTGCTCTATGGGACAAATGGGGAGAACGCGTTCCCATTACCATCCTTTGGTTAGATGATAACATTGTTTCTCAGGTCAAAACCCCGGAGAAGGAAGGCATATCTGCCCTACAGGTTCCTCAATTTCGACTGATTTCAATCTAGCATGTCTAGTTTCTGAAAAAATTATGCTAAGTTCTTAAAGACTGAATCTTTACCCCCACGAAAGTAAAAAAGAAATATTTTGTTAGTGCTAACTGACTGTTGTCAATTTATCTGCTCTGTTAATTCAAATGCATCACCTAACGAGTTTTGTTATATTTGTATTACTGTATCATAGTACTCATTGCGAGAACGTTGTGAACGTGTTTTCAAGTCTGAATGGATATTCTGGTGTCTTTTACACTTGATATTGGCTGAATACGTTGTCAGCCAATCGACCAAAAATTATGATAAATAAAAGAAATTGGTTGCCTAATGTTTTTGAGGATGGTGTTAGTTACTCTTTATGCTGTGGCGTGGTCTAATTGATCTTTTTATGGTGGTAGTTAGATTGGATGTGCTCACAAAAAGGAGAAGCATTTGACAAAACCTGAAGTAGGTCATTTTAGAGCACAAGGTGTGCCCATGAAGAGAAAGTTGAAGGAATTTCCTGTTACTGAAGATGCCCTTCTTCCTGTTGGAACTAGCATCAGTGTCAACCACTTTGTTCCAGGCCAGTATGTGGATGTTGCTGGAATTACAAGAGGGAAAGGTTTTCAGGTGCCGAGTAATGTTGATTGTGTTTATTGTTTGATTAGTCTAGTTGATTGGTTTTTACCTTTTATGGACTTCCGCATGCACCACAGGATACTAGTGATATTGTTGATGAGAATAACTCATATTTTGACCTCAAATTGGCCTTTGAGACCAAGTTTTCGTACTTCATTGAGTTTTTAATAAAGACGCAACTTGAAATTTTCAATTTTGTTGCTGATGGAGCATTTCTCAATCTTCATGACAGTTTTTAAATAGAAGTAATATCACACACCATCGTCATATATATTAGATAGGAACTCTCTAAGCATTAGCTAATGGTAGAAATATTGTTTTATTTGTGGAACAAAATTCCACCTTTCTAGCTTCTACTTTCTGTTCCACCTCTTAAGATGTTAATTGAACTGTCAGTGTTGTCTCACTCTTGGAGGGCATGTCTAATCTGATGAACTGTACTAATGATTGAGGAATTTCACGTGTAGGGCGGGATGAAAAGATGGGGATTTAGCGGTATGCCTGCATCACATGGTGCTTCATTATCCCACAGAAGTATTGGTTCTACAGGTCAAAGAGATGCTCCAGGAAAGGTAGGCATTACCTTTTCCTCGATTTTATGTTAGTGATCTACAGTGTATGAGTTCTATTTTCACAATTAAATAAGTTGGCACTTGTCACACTCCTCTTTTCGTCTACCTTATAACTAAGTGCCTGCTTAATTGCAAGTAGCATGCATGTTATATTATTTAAATTGTTTTAAAAATGATATGCATTCGAAATTGTTATCTATTTGCGACTGGTTTACTTATTTGAAGGAGAAGTAAATCTTGTAACTAATAATGCTTCAGTGAGGTGTATTACAAAAAATATTCTAGCAGTAAAATATAGTCATTTGGTACAGAGATATTGTGCAAGACTTGATGAACATTGCTCAATTCTGTTTTCCCCACCCTTTCTTTATTCCTCCACAATTTTAAAATATAATACATTCTCATTGTTAATTTTTTTGTGGACTGCTTACGACAATATCATTATAAGCTAGCAATGGAACTATGTGTAGCAAGGGGTTATCACTTCATGGGTGAAAACCATGCACTGATAAGTTTTTGCTTCAAGCTATGGTGCACAAAGTGATTCCAACGAGAATCGGTTGCTTCTTTGTATCTCGACTTTGAGGTGTTGGATTCATATCGGCATTATCATTTAGTTATTTAAACTGCTATATAATTTTACTAAATTTGTAGATGATTTGATAATTTTGTTTGGATCATGAGGTGCCTGATAATTTATGATATTCTGAAAACTGTGCATTTCGCTCCAAAGAAGCATGCACTTTTCTTCTCACTTTCGCTTCAAGCTCTATAATCCTTGTAACTTTTTTGCGCTTTTCGCTTATAAAAACTCTTGAGCCTATCTCCCCTTTGTTAGCTGACCCCACCTTTTCAATTCCATATTTATCCAGCTATAAAATTATGGAGAAATAGAGAAACAACTAGTAAGAAACTAAATTTTCCGCATACAAATGCCAAAACATGTTCATCCACGATATCATGGACAGAGTTCCTTGGCCGATAGTTTTTGAGTGGAGTGTTGGACCTTGGAGCTTCCACGCAAGTAGCATATGGTGAGCTGTTAATACAGATAGCGGCTTTTAAATCAAAATTTGGGTTTTGTATATCAAGGATGTGTTATGGAACTTACAGAATCTCCACCCACTCCACCCCAAAATTTTTGGGGCGTGGTTGGGCTTACAAAAGAGTACCCATTCTTCTGTACATGCAATTGTTTCTTGTCTCTTGAGTGTTTTGCCAGGTAGTTCTAATAGATATTGGGTCACTTTAGGAAGTATGCTCATGCAATCCTCTATCATGTCGTTGAGTTTGACCTTCATGTGTCTAAAAATATGCTCAAGAACCCGTGACATGCTAAATTAGTTGGAGCTTCAACCTCACATCCCGGGAAGATAACTTACATTGCCGAAGTTGCATTTGATACACTTGATTAACTTATTTGACTAAATATTTAATTGGAACTGAACAAACAATTGATTTTGTATGATGCTGTTGTAGAATCTAGTTAATGTTACAAGCTTCCGCTTTCATTTGTAATTTTTTCTTTGAAGGTATTTAAAGGGAGAAAAATGCCTGGACGCATGGGTGGAGTGCAACGAACTGTTAAAAATGTTTGGGTCTACAAGATTGATCCTGCCAGAAACTTGATGTGGGTCAAAGGCCAGGCAAGATTTTGAAACACTTCTCGTTTCTTTTAAATTTATTTCACATGGATAAGAAAGTTATCATGCTGAATGCATTGTTTAAATATAATTTTCCTTTCCTTTGCAATCTTTCTGATGAAATTCTATGCGTTCAAACTCTTATTTATGACTAAAAGTTGGTAACTCACCAAAAAAGTACACAGAGAGAGAGTTGGTAGTGTGACATGGGCAATCAACAGTATTACCCCTCCCCCCTCCCCCGCGGTATGTGCTTTCTAATGAATATTAGCTAACTATAAAAACTACCAGCTGTCTGCAAAATATATGGGAACTAGGGGGAGGGGGGGGTTCACTTTTCTTTCTTGGAGGTACCAACAAATTTAGGTCTGAAGAAAGGCGTCATTTCAATCTCTTGCATGGGAACTGTGATTAAACTTCTTTGATCTTGTAAAGAGGGTGGAATTCTTCAGTAGTACGCCAGTCTTTGCGCAGTTCTATGGATAGATAACTCAGAGCCAGTGATTTACTGTAACTTTCTTTCAGGTTCCTGGAGCTGAAGGTAACTTTGTGTTCATCAAAGATTCTGTGTACAAGAAACCAGATATTTCAACGCTTCCGTTTCCCACTTACTTTACCCCAGAAAACGAAGATCAAGCAGATTTGGAACCATTAGTGGCTGATCTTGGTGACACAGACCCTTTTATGGCTGCTGATTGATTCTAGGCAATCTAGCTGTGACCATGGCATTTTCTGTCTTTACCTTTTTTATTTCTTCAACAAGCAGCAGTGAAGTGGTAGTGTTTTAGAAGGAATTTATTCGTAGTAGTGTTTGACATTTCTCTGGCTGATGGTACTCTAATTTTGAGTTGTACTACAAAATTTATCTACTTCTTGTTGGACAGGGTGCAATTTAGCTACCTCTTCCAGAGAAATTGTACAGACACAAACCAATTATGTTGTTGCTGGATGACTAGAGCTAATAACAGAAATATGATGAATGGAGAATTATAAACTATAGTAGTTTGTCATTTTACTTGTATTCTGGTTCAAACCTATAGTTGTTTGCCTCAAAGAAAGTATTTTTGACATGACATGATAGTCCCAAAGGTAGTGTGAACACTTTAGCCTAATCTTTACCTGTCCTACATTGAATGCAGCAATAGCAGAAAATCAAAATTTCTTCAAACAAGTTTGCTGGAAGGTTTGATTGACTGATAATGGAATTACAGGTGTCAAATATAATTAAGCTAGTTAATTTTACTTGAGCTGAGCTAATTTTATAATTTCTATGTTTATTTTATTATAATTTGCTTAAATTATCAATTAAACTTTTATTTTCACAATTCTAACATAGCAATTATTTTTAAAGAAGGATTACTTCCAAGCATGTGCTATCTCTTTCTTTCTTCCTTCACTTTTAATGGGAAAATGACAGTTTGCAAATAATAAACCATCTTCTAAGCCGTTACTGATGGAAGGAATGAACCCTACAAAGAGAAATCCTCATTTGTGCATGTATTCAAAAAGTCTGATCAAACTTATAGACTTTCTGGCCTATTCTTGAAAGGAAACATAATCTTTATTAGTTCACGGGTCCTTCACCTTTTGTCACTCTCAACTTCAACTACCATTCAATTCCCACCCAAATTAACTCCCAAGTCCTTAAAATTTGGCTAACTCCAACATCTTTAAAACTCTCCATCTTCAACAATCAAAATACATGTACTGAGACACCATGGACTGGTTTTCATGGCTCTCCAAAACTAGCCTTGACCCTTCTCTTCTTTATGACTATGCTATTATTTTTGCTCATAATCAACTTGATCAAGATGATATAGAATATTTCAACCATGAATTTCTCCAAAGTATGGGAATTTCAATAGCCAAACATAGGCTAGAAATCCTCAAGCTTGCTACTAAGGAAAAGGGCAGAAGAAGCTCAAGAAAACATATCTTTTGGTTAGTTGTAGCTATCAGGCAAGCAAAACAACATTTTACCAAAAGCTTTAGCACGTGGACTCGTCGGTCAGATTCAAGTGCCTTGCTGCCTCTGAGAAATTGCAGTTCAAGATGGAAAGCATCTATGTTGAAGAGGAAAAAGAAGCTAACTGCAGCTAAACAAGAAAGGCCAGTAATGCAGAGTATTAATGCTACTACTAATCAAGGAAGGTTGATGATGCTCACAAATGGGAGTCCCAATCTCATGATAGATTCTTCTGATGCCTGGATTAGCAGCCCTTCAAGCTCCACTGCTGAGGATTTTCGCGATGATGAAGACATGGACGGCGTTGATGGTGGAAACTGGCCAACTGTTGCTATTGAAGAGATTAAGTGGGATGCAATGTTTCAAGACTTGAAACCTACCTGAGTTGATTGAACTCTCTCTAATATACCTTAGTTAATTTATACTCATGCTTTTTCTTCCTCTAGATACCTTGAACTTTCAAGTGTTTTTGGGAATTATTGCATTATAATTTTCTGAATTCTTTGTCTATAAGCAACAGAATGCAGAGTTTTAACTTTTATCATACTGAACTTCATATCCAAGTTGATTATTATGGTTTCTCAAAAAGAATCATGGTAATTAAACCTTAGCACATTCTTTTCCTTTCAGCCAGTTAATTGACAATGCAATTTTTTCAGTAAGTTCACTCTTACAATAATGGCTGTGTTAAGGACTTGCAGTGCAATCTATGGCTCTGTCTCTCCCCCTCATTTATAAGGTGGAAATAGAATCTAAAATTGTTAGTACCTTTTTTTTTGTTTAACCATCTAGTTTCTGAAGTCCACTGACCTGACTAATCATGATTCGAGTAGGATAGGCCCACTAAGGGGGTAAAGCGCTTCCTACAAAGATATTATCCATTCCCACCTTGATTACCACTTATTAGCACTGCTAAGCAGTTCTTACTAAGGATAAAAAGCTAATACTACTTCACTACATTTTCGGAATCAGCCAATAAATTTACTTCATGAAGAATAGAATTTTGCAGGCAATTTAATGCACTATTTATTTCCTGAAATAGAAGCCTCAAGTTGTCCCCCAAAGATCATTACAGAATCAACAGTAGTAGTACATTTTACTGGGACATCAACCTTACTTTCAAACTTCAATTTTACCAAGAGGAACATGATGGAAGCCACATTCAATGAGAGAACACTTCCAGTTATGTTCACAGTAGGAGACAGCATTCCCTTGTCAGTAGGGAAATGCAATATGGATCACGAAAACAGGTAAAATTCTATAATATATATATGTAGATGCAAAAGGTGACTACACCACTTAGTGATCAGAAGCCTGAGCCAAACGGAAAGAACCTGCAGCATACAACATCTGGTAGACTGGTCTAATTCTGATAGTCAAGATCATGCTCAAGAATGCACCAAAGGCAGAGACTCCTGCTAAAACCAGAAACGTGAGCCTGAAGCAATTTGGGCCCAGACAGTGCGATCCTTGTTGCTTTCCTGCCTCTGTGTCATAGACATAACCAGCCAGTAGACCAGAAAACAGAAGTGCTCCTAAAGGATTGCCAAGCTGCATGAAGTTGAATATTATGCCAAAATGTTTCAAGCCAAAAAGCTCGGAGGAAGTAGGAATCATTACACCAAACTGAACACCGAAGCAAATCCCTAGTAATGCAGTCGCAGCATAGAGGGTACCACTCAGAGCTGAAGCATAAAGAAGGAATGTTATAATCATGAGGATTTGTGTTATCATCATCCAAAATGTACGTGGTATTGTTTTTGACCTGCGATAGACATGATAGAAGTATAAAATTGTCGGTCACCACTAAGCCACACAGCAATCTGTCAATCTCTAATTGAAATCATTCTTGAACTTACGCATTTAATGATTTAAGTGATGCACTATCAATTACAAGAATTAGGAGCTAGCAACCATGAAGATGGATAGATTTATAGCTAGTAATAGTATCAATAAGAAATGTCAAATATAGGAAAGCATTTCGAGTTTCTTCTGAAACTGAAAGCATTTGTCCCTTGCCCCCAGCCAAGTGAGTGAGAGGGAATATCAGCACATCATTATCTTCTTTCTTGGGAAACAAAGATAACAGGAGGGGGATATACCAGATTATTACCTTACAAAGTGTTCCGAAACAACACCTGCCCCAAGACGGCCCAAGAAATTGCAAAAGCTGAACAAACTCAGTAATATCGTTGTGTCATTTACACCAAGTGCAACTCCAATCTGTGCTAAATTATTAAGAACAGTTACACCAGAGCCAACACCAAAGAAGTATGCAAGCCACAGAAGCCAGAAGTCAGCTTTAATAATAGCTTCACGAAATTTGAAGTCTTCACCTCTTCTAGGTTTCCTTTTCTTCTTCACTGCACCCTCACCCACAGCCAACAGCATATCCACCTCAGAAATATCTTCACCTTCACGGAAGCTCCCAAGGTCTGCTTCTGATGAAATTGGAGTTAATAAGGACGCCGTTTGGCTGGAACTGATTTCTTCTTCAGTCAAATCATTTGAGGAACCATCTAATTTTCCAGGTCTCTTATGACGAGAAGGAAAGATTGTCATCTTCAAGGGAATTGCTAAAGGAGACATCAATAAGATAACCATTACTCCAACAAGTATATAGGAGATGGAATTATTTAGAGATAGAATGATCTTCAAAATTGTTGTAGTGAGAAGATAAACTGCAAGCAACAGACTTGCTGCTTGTGTGAAAAGAAAATGGACATGCTCAGAAGAATCCTCGCCAGAAGCTGGTGTGCAAGCCCGGATAAAGTACATCATGGCCAAACAGATGATCGGAATTCCCAATGTTAGAAACAGCAACAAATCTGAAGCTGAATCATTAAAAACCATAGCAAAGATCTCTGTGAAAACTGCAGCGCTCAGGCCAATATAGCCTTTCAGTATTCCAGCAACAGTACCTCTACTGAGAGGGAAGTTCCTCATATTGGTGACAAGTACCGCTGTGCCCATCCATGCACTGCTGTTTGTAGCAACTACCAGTGCGAGCCAAAGCTGTCATTCAATCAGATATCGACAGAGAACTATGAGAACAAGTTGTCAGTAAAACACAAAACTTCAAATTATGTCAATGGAAGTCATACCCCAAATATTTAAAAGAAAACAAATCAAAGAAGTCACCAGAATAAAGCAATGACATTGCAATTTGATTGAAATGAAGAACAATGTAGTAACATCTCTCTTCTCAACATGTGGCTAAAGCCATTGAGACAAACAAGGGTTTGAAATTGATAGAGTGATGACAAAATCAGATACTTCTTCCTCAAGTTCCCAATTGGAAGTACCAAAAGAGAAATACATCTTACAACAACTCCTGATATGCAAACTTGCAACTGAGTAAGCTTGAAATGATATAAATCATTTTGTGGCTAGCTAGATGAAAAGTAGAACCAAGACACTAAAAGAAAAAAAAAAAAAATAGAACTTGAAGAAAAGAATCGCACTTAAGTACACATATAAGTCGGAGTTCCCCACATATAACATAGAATGCTGGTGATACATAGAGCTTGAACACTTCAAAGCATAGCTTGAGAAATATAAGAGTTTGAAGGAGGCACTAAACAGATGAGGTGACAAAAGAAACAGGGTGCATAATCTAGGAAGAGGTGCATCAATAACAGAGCTTTCAGAAGAAAAAGAAAAGAACCCTAAGAGCCTATTTGGATTGACTTATTTTAAGTGTTTCTAAGCTAAAATAGCTTTTTAGCACTTTTGGAGTGTGTGAGTATATTAAAGAAGTGCTTATAACTTATAAGCACTTGGTTTAAAGCTAAAATGATAAAAATAAGTCAAAAACTAAATTGCTTATAAGAACTTGCTAGTATGCAATGACCTAACACTCTTATGAACAGGGGCGGACCCACATAGAGTCCACCGGGTGCTCGAGTACCCATTAACCTCGTCTCGGAATATATATATATATATATATATATATAGGTAGAAATTAAGAGATATTTATATAAAATTAACATAGAGCACCCAATGAACAAATGATCTAACTGGTCCATTGGCTCTTGGTGTGTGTGCTTAAGGTTGTTTAAGTGTTGTTGAGCCCGGGTTTGAATCTCACTGTTAACATGTCTTTTTTATATTTTTGACTCCGCCACTTTCAGAGCACCCACAACCTTAGAATCCTACATCCGCCACTGCTTATGAAGGAAGCTAAGGATAATTGCTCCTCCATGAATACTGATAGTTAAGGGAAAGAAAAGAAAAATAAGGGGATTGCAAGAATTTTTCAAGTGAAATAGAAAGCAAAGTAGAGTTAACAGAAATTTTAGCTGCATTTTGCAGATATAACACTATCTATGCTTTGATTTACTATCCACTGCTGCTTTGAGTTCTTGCACAAAACAAGGCAAAACTAAATATGAGATATAATAATCAAAGAAAGATCAGCAGAATGCAGGGACTAATATCCGATGTATCACTTCATAGTTCCACTCTTGTGGTAGAAAGATTCACACAATAGAGTTAGCTTGGCAATTAGAGCAGAAGGAAGGCAGGGGGAATAAGTTGGAGGCTCACCAAGAAGGTTCACGCAAGAACTATTACATCCATTTTTGCAAACAAGATCTAGTATGTGCTACTTTTTGTTTTAAACAACTTCTAAATGCAACATTGGCCAGATATGATGAATGTATGCAATACCTTCTGTGAAGGTACAGTCAGCTAAATTCTAGAATGTAATCTCAGGCAGGAAATGATCCTCTATAAGGTTCAGAACTTTGCACTCATATTCACAGATGTTAACTTCTTCATCATTAGAATATCTAGAGTTCCAAAAGATTAGTGAAGAAGTACTAACAATAGCAAAATAATAAGCCTACGAGAAATGGTTGATAGTTCCTCCAATTATTTCTCAACTGTCTATTCAGGTCCAAACAATGAAAAAAGATCTAACCCATGTCAAAGTTAAAGTATACTGAAAAAAAAGATCTAATCCATGTCAAAGTTAAAGTTTACTGAACATGAACTCATACAATAAGGATTAACAGAAGAATTTATGTCACGTGCATGTACTCAGGTCACAAACCTCCTAGCAATCGAAGACACATGGTTTTAGAATTTAAAGGTACAATAGGAAAATCCAAATATAGATTCCACATTCCAGTAATTAAACATACCTTTTTTTCTTGTTTACGTGTTGAGATAAGATACAAATGCACAAAGAAATGAATTTGTGCCTAACCCAATGGAACATCTGAACATGCTGGTGGTTCAATCCCATAACTTAAAATTAGATGTACCCAAGAGTACCATAAATTGAACCTACTATCCTCAGTATCAGCATTCACAATAACTCAGTGTTTCTATAACAGAAAAATAGTTCATAATTTTACATCTTTAGGAGGAACTAAACCTGAAATCAATTAGAGCATAACCTTTCTCCCACCCACCCCAAACTTAAAAATCAATCATTAAAACAACAACAACAAATCCACTGTAATAAAAGAGACGACAGTTAAAATAGATACTATAATAGGAGGAAGATCAGGTAAGGCAGAACTTAAAACTGTAAAAAGAAAGAGAGTAGCAAAAGAAATCAAGAACTCACAACCCAGTAAGGCAAGGACAGTACAGTCTGGC